ATCCTGATTACTACCGCCGTCTACCTTGGTCGGAAAGTACGGACGAAGGAGCTTTTTGATCGTTGCATGGATTTCATAAAAAGTCATGCACCCTGCCAGTTCCTCGCAAATGAGGCAGGAGTGCTCCGTAGATATTGTTTCATCAAAGCCTTTAAAGACATTTGCCAAGAACGCCAAGGAAAAACTCCAGGAACCGGACGGCTGCAACCCGATAATTGCCAATACCAGACTAAATATTGAGTTGACTATATTCATAGACGATTTCTTTGTAAATCGACTATACAGCACGTATATCCTGAGATCAACCCCTTTGGAAGCTACTGCGATCTGCATGCGCTTGGATCGGACGCTTTCGATTTTGTGTTTTAAGGTTCTCTTACGGAGGTGCGTTTCAAGAGTTTCTGCCACTGGTGCCAAGGCTAATAGTGGATACTTATGGGTCATCTACTTTGGCAGAACATGTGGTATTTTAGCTGATAAGACTTTAGTGGATGACGTGGAGATTATAGGGGCCTTATAGTGGACCTTATCTAATCGATAAGGCCGTCACGTGAGTGACTGTGTAGCTCCGTTGTACTGATTCTGTTGGCAGGGCGATTTTCCTTGGCACTGGCGGCAGAAACTCTTGAAAGGCACCTCCGTACAATGCTACGCAATCGCCAGGTAGCCCTCTTCGCTGAAGGCGATAACAGACAGTGCTATTACAAGATTAACCGGGGTGCCGCGTTCCCACAGTCCGAAACTTTTTGCTGATAAACCATCTCCACTCTCTAGAGCGCACGTCTGGGGCAGTTGTCGAACTCTGTTGCGCACCGGCAACTCCAGAGTCAGTGGTGTTTTTTGAGTTCAACTTGCACTGCACGCGCAAAGTCAATTTGACTGCCGCCAAGACTTTTTTTTTTTTTTTCGTAAGTTGGCCTATCTGTTCTGCTGGTGTACGATTTTAGGTGGGTGTGGTGATCGTGGGAGTAGTTCTGCACCAAGCTGGGGGAGGGCTCCAGCGCTCATCTGCAGGCTTAACGGGCAGAAAATCGACATTTGACGGGTTTGCGAGCATAGCTCCAGATCGCTGATCATCATTTTCCGGTAGTGATTGACGGCAGATTTAAAGTGTTTGGTGGACTGTGACGACAGAACCACGCGATTGCTGAAGGAACATTGATTTCCCCATATTGATATGTAATATGGATGGGATAAAGGGACCTCCGACCCTTGAAGTTGACAACTGAACAATCAGCTCAGCCATCAGCAAGGCCCACGAGTTATCTCAATAGATGAAATACAGCCAGCGTCAACTCCTGTTGAGTTGACTTGAGTCATCGAGAGGTTGAACACGAATTTGAGAAACTGCCACAGCATACTCAACAAATTCTCAAAATAGACATTTTCGTTTCAATGGCCAAGTTCTGATTATTTGTGTACGTACTTGCAGTAAACTGATTCAGAAGGCGCGCGTGGTGAGTAAAGACACCCACGGACTCAGTCTGCCAACGAGTAAGAGACAAATGTCGAATCCAGATCAATCTACTTTGTCAGAAGAGAAATTACTTTGTTGCTCTTGCTCAGGCAAGAAGTCAAGTGCATGCAATAGGGATAAGAACTTATGACTCCAGGAAAGGGTACAGGTACTTGTGTGCATCGAAATTTCGAAAACTCGACATGCACATTAAGCTGTTCATGAAGTTACCTTATTGATGCTTCAATTTACCGATTGTCCGAGACCAAAGTCGTAACTCTCAATTGCCGGATTGAATTTCTCAAGTATAGGCGTGATATATCATTCATACGTAGTGTACCGCCAATGAAGAGATTACGGCCTTGGCTAAGGCAACAGCTATGGAAACTACAAGTATTTGCCATCTGTAGCGCTTGACTGAATTACTGCACTTATTCATAAACTGGAACATATGCCAGGACATGGTACAGAAATCTTGCATTCGTGTTATCCTTGAAGGCAATGAAGGGACAGAGACAGCAAATATGCACTGCTGTTAGTGCACTCCAAAGACGGACTATTCACAGAATGCCCGCACAGTGAAAGAGGAGGAGAAAGGATGCTTGAAAGTTAGCACTTCCCCTCTATTAATTACTAAGCTATCGAACAGAGTTTCATCCTTTTTCAACTTTAGGATAATCCACTTCAATCAAAAGCCGAGGGGCCAAAGTGTAAACGTGACTTCAGATCCATAATTCAAGAGTCGGCCCTCGGAGTTAGGGTTTACTGCGCAGTAGCCAGCATCAGCAAGAATAGTGCGTGCGTCACGGCCGCGCAATGTTCGTTGTTGAGATCAGCAAACTTCAAGTCGAACGGACCTGTTGCCAAAATACACATAGATGATAGTTCAAAAAGTTCAAAAATCTAGTATCGCGTCTGCTTCTCGAACACGTTTCCAATTGGTAGAGGAATCGATCGTCTTTCAATTCGATGGCTGGCGTAGAATGTTTCCTCGGAAGAAATGCCGAAAGAGTGGGAACCGATGGTGCAAGATGTGCATCAATGGCGTTCATCGCAACGGTTTTCATAAGCGCCACCAACCACTGATAGAGTTCGGATGGTGTCATTGGTTTAGACTGACATGTTGACATGGGCATCGCGGAGATTCGCTCTTGTTTCGACAACGTCAAGTTTCCCAAGGGACCGGAAACACTGTGTTCTTGCTATGATTTGCTGTGTCAGTTTACAGTGCCAGCGCCTTATCACGAATTGTCAGGTTTCGATGCGTCAATCGGCAATTCTCTCCACTGAGGACCCCATTGACAATACAACTCCCGCATGACGCTGTCGGCTCCTGCCGAAGAGAGAAAGCTTCAACTGACCGTCTGATATCAGAGTTTGACCTGTAGAGTATAAGATCTGAAGCCATGTAGCCATTCGGAATCTCAAACCGAAGACCTCCAGTCAAGTCGCTCGTCGCATCTTGTCTTCAGCTTGTGAAACTGTCCCAAAGACAACCTGTAAGGCTTCAAGACCATGCACTTCTCCCGACTGTCCGCGTTGGCTTTGGCCGGCAGATTGGCCAGTGCCGGGAAGGGTCCCTTTCTCGAGCAGATTAATGACTCGACCTGGGTCATTGGAAATGATCACTGGAACCTGACACAGGGTTCGCTCTACGCAACCAAGCTTTTCTGGGAGGGTGTCCCGGGCGCCGATCTTGTGGGTTCGGCTGCCGGCCACTACGTCGGCTACGGTAAGACGACCATCTCATCGCAACTTTACTTGATGAAGCTGTGCTGACTGACATATTGCAAAAAAAGATGGGGAGAACAATCTCCAGTTCACAAACGCCACAATCACATCCCGCGGTACGGACTACATCGATGTCAGCTTCTCCGCCGCTGCCGGCGACTTCCACTGGGTAATCTTCGACGACTTGACCGGCGCGTACCAGTACTTTGTCAACCGGGCCCTCCCCGACATTAGCATTCTCCGGACTTTGTGGAGGTTAGCCCCTGATGTCTTCACCAACGGTCGCACGCATCTCAAGGACGAGCCCCTGCCCGACTTTTCGCTGTACGCCACCGCAATCAACGTCCAGGATGAGACTTGGCAACTGGCCGATGGGTCCTTCATTACAAAGTACGACTGGTCCAACGCCGTCAGGGATCGTGACTTCTACGGCGTCTACGGCCCCAAGGCCGGGTCTTGGTACATCCATCCTACGACGGAGTACTACAATAGCGACCACCTGAGCCAGACTTTGACGGTGAGTTATTAGGTGACTCCCTGCAATCTCGTGGGCAAATTTCTGACCTAATGACCAGGTCCACCGAGAGTCAAAGACTGGAGATGCAGTCCAGCTTAATGTCGTTCAGGACACTTCTCACTTCCGCGTTGGCAAGACGGTGCCTCAGCCAGTAGGCAAGGTCTGGGGACCTTGGCTGTGGTATCTCGTAAGAAGATCCTGATCCTGCAAAAGTCCATGTCGCAATATCGCTAACAATTGCACGCAAAGAACAATGGAGATGTGGCGGACGCTGCGCAAAAGCACAAGGAAGAAGTCAAACACGTCCCTTACACATGGTTCAAGGACACAGCATACCACTCTCGTGGCGGAGTCCAAGGAACTCTGGTCCTCTCAGATGGCCGTCCCGCCTCTGGCGCTGCCGTCTTTCTCGGTGATACCGACACGACCATCCGCCCTTCGATTCAGGGCAAGAACTACTACTACACGACGTACACGAACGACAAGGGCCGCTTCTCCTTCGACAATGTTCGCACCGGCGGGTATGCCGTCTACGCCACCTCCAACGGTGGCAAGCTGGCCGACGTGTACACGAACTTAACTGCGCCCCTGACGATTACCAAGGACAAGACCCTGAACTTCGGCGAACTCTCGTGGACCGTCCCCAAGAGCAAGCAAATCTTCCAGATCGGCGAGTTCGATAAGAAGGCAAACGGGTTCAAGAACGGCGGCGTGCCCTACCAGCACGGTGTGGCGGCTCGGAGCCCCGCGAACCTGACCTTCACTGTCGGCAAGTCCCAGAATGAGGACTGGTACTTCGCGCAGTCAGCCATCGGAAAGTGGACGATAGAGTTTGACATTCCCTCGGAGGACCTTGCTGCCAACAAGACTGCGCTGCTGAGCGTGTCACTGGCTGGGTACTCGCAGAGCGCGGCTTTGGATATTGACGTCAACGGGCAGGTTTACGGCTCTCTGAGCAAGGACACGTTGACCAGCGATCCTGCTCTGTACCGGTCCGGCAAGATCAGCGGCGAGTGGCGCTTCCTCCAGTATAAGATCGATACCGACGTGCTCAAAGCTGGGCAGAATACTGTGGGATTCACTGTTACTCGTTACACTCAGTGGAGAGGTTTCTTATATGACAGTATCATCTTGGAATGGCTTTAAGGTCACCAAAGCATCCGCTTTATCGAACACATCATCACGCGTAGCCATGAAAATCAAAGGAAACTAATAACATAATAGACTATGAATGCTGGGAATGCTATTTTTCTACCACCACCACCACCACCACCACCACCACCACTACCACTACTACTACTGCTGCTGCTGCTGCTGCTGCTGGATCCTGAGTAGTTCCAGAAGCTGCTGCTGTTGTTGGGGAGTCATTTGTACCTCCAAACTTTGACCCGTCATATCTGCATTATTGGCGTTGGTTTGCTGCGTACCCATGGCTGCGTTCAAGCCGCTGATTCCAGAACTTCCCAGACCAAGATTGCCCAAACCAGCGTTACCGAGACCACTGTTTCCTAGACCAGTGTTGCCCAGGCCGATACTATCCATGTTGCCGAAGCCGGTTTGAGACGACTGCGAGGCCATGGGGTTGCCCTGATTATGCAAGTTATTGAAGCCGGGTCCGGCCCTTGCCATATTCGGCACGCCCATCCCCATCATACCGAACTGCTGGGCATTCTGAAAGCCACCTGGATACACGAAGCCCTGCTGAAATCCTCCTGGATGAGCCATTCCGAACCCCTGCCCGCTGAAACCAAATTGGTTCCGGTTGAAGTCGTCGTACCGAAGCTCCTTTTTGTGGGCAAGATAATTCTCCAGACGCTCGTGTCTCACCAAGTAGAGATACGCGTTGAACTCATGCGATACCTTGGCGACCTTCTCAAAGTGCTCTCCCCTGACAACAATGGGGCCCGAGACTTCGTTTTCCTGCTGGTGGAACTCGGCCAATGCCACGGCCGTCTGAAAGGCGTTCCTGATCTGTCTTCCATTCCAGACTGGCTTGTGGTCGTCCAGGGTTGTTTGCCAATGCCAGAGCTTAGCCGCCAGATTTCTGATCTCATCGCGCTTGAACTCCACCTGCTTAGGCGGTTTCTCTGGCCCAGGTTCTACCGAGAGCTTTTCTGTACGATCCATTTGCACTTCCCATATCCTTCTGGTCTGCTCCTGGGTGAGGGGAGGATAATACAGGGCCATTGACATGCGGGACTTGAAAGCTTCATCAAAGGAACCCACCTTGTTAGTCGTGAGGAAGAGAATGCCTTCATAGTACTCCATCACTCGAAGGAAAACTGCACTTGAGTGTAAGTGGAATGTCATGTTTCATCTTACATAACCAGAAGAAATGAAGGAAAACTTACCAGAAACTAGTGCGTTTCGTGCAATGTTGTCTTGGCTTCTTTCCGCCAAGAATACATCAGCCTCGTCGAGAAGCAAGACACACTCCCATGCCTGGGCCATCTGAAATGCAGCCTGGAGATTGGCCTCCACTTCAGTCGGGGCTGTTCCCAAATCACCTATCACGATATTCAGTGTGTCTGACTCATTGAGAGGAAAATATGTACCTGAAGCACGGGTTCTTACCGCAAGTGATAGGTAATAGTGGCTTGTTGTAGTACGCCGCCACGGTTTCTGTCAGTCGACATTGTCAGCTTCTAGGTATACAATGTACATGCGAACGCTTGAACAGAGCTCGGGGAATATACCCGCAGTTGAAGTTTTGCCCACCCCAGGAACGCCATGCAGCAGTACGATCAGTCCTTTTCCTGTATCCTATTAGTTCTCGGACCATTTAAAACAGGACTAGTTCTTTCCCACCTTTGTCTTGAATGATGTCGAATTGACGACGCTCAGACTTGGTTTTTCGAAAATGAGTAGCCATTAGGGATTCGATGATTGTCCTATGACCGTCGTCTATCTGGAGGTAGTCCCATGCCTCGGGGTCCTTCTTCATTTGAATGAGACTTTGTCTTCGATTGTCCGGTGAGCCAGACCCGATCGGGATGCAAGCTGATGTTTCTGTGTCAGCAGGCTTCATCCTCTACCAGCCTTTCGGGTCAGAACATGTACTCACCCCATTGACGGGTACGTAGGACGAATCCAAAGACTCTCGCTGGTAGCAGCAGAATCTCATCCCCTGTTGGAGGCTCTCGCCCGAAAACTTCTGGAGGCTTAGATTGATCAGTGTAGTTGAGGACCTCCTCAGCTAGCCGGATATCCCACAAGCTGTCGTTATCGGATCCGGGGGGTGCGGCGAGCACCGGTCCCGTATCCTCTGGCCGTTTGTTCTGAACAATATTTTCTACCCGTCTCCAAACGGATGTAGGCAATCGTCCAGGCCTCCAGTCGGGAACTTCTTGTAGGCATCGATTGAAGTCAACGATTACCGGGCTTTCGATGGACTCTGAAAGAGCTACAACGGAAGCAATTGCGCCCCTCCTTTCTGGGCGACGCAGACCGGTGCCGTCTGGCTCAAAAATCATGCTTTGACCCCGATAGTAGCTGTAAGACCCTTTGGTATAGGATATGAAATCTTCTCCTCTTTCTTTGTAGCTTTGAGGGTCAACCAGACCTTCTCGCTCCGCAATCTTCAATGGAACAATCGGAAGGGCGCGAACGCTGGACAGCTCTCTAAACCACTCAAACCAGAACTGCTTAAAAACACGAATAAAACGGTGCCCATCGAAGTCTAGGTAGTAGCAGTCTATGAAAAAGTGAGAAGGCCTTGTGTCTCCCAAGGTGCCTCCCAACTGGAACCGAGTGGTTTTTGATCCCGCGCGCCGAAATATTGGTTTCTGCCCCCCTCTGCCCTGTACGACGCGCCACAGCTTCTGAGGAATCATCGGGTCTTTGACGTAGATGGTTGTCCCTGGCTTGAAGACGTGCCATAGCTCTTGGTAGTGGACCTGGAAATCTCTTCCTCCCTGGAGTGCTTCACGCAGAGGAGAGATGTACTTGTCGATGAATGACAGTAGTACGCCTAGGTCTAGACCTGCCTCTCGCAGCTCGCTCTTAGTCAAAGACTTCCAGTCAAACCCTGAAGTGAATATGATTTCGTCTCTATCATATGCACCTTTTGGTGGCTTCGTGACCACTTCGGAATCCTCTGGCACACATGAGTCTGCTCGGGGTAAATTCTGTGTGTCAGGTGTCTCTGATTCATCATCGAACTTGGTCCTGTAAAGATCCTGAATTTCTGATCTCTTTTGGCGAAGGTCTGGCTCAAGCCATTGGAAGATCTTATAAGGGCGATAGATTATTTGCCTGTGATTTCCAGACAGACCCCCCTTCGTCAAGCTTTCCAGAATTCGTCTCACAGGTAAGGAGTCGATACTAATTCGATTCGGCAAGACTTTGATGCCGTCGATCCGGGCTTGAAGAAACACAGGCTTGGGGTCCATTGTCCCTTCGTCGGAATGTCGGGGGCGTCGGGGAGAGAACAGCATATCTGAGTCCGATGGCTCTTCCTCCACCAAAACTTGTATTGCGGATTCAGAAGGTGGAGAGTCCCACCACTCGAGCCATGTACATTCTTGCATTTCAGGAACTTTTGGTGTTCTCTCTGAATATTCCTCGCTGCTAATTGAAGATGGTGGAACAGGTCGGTCGAAATTCTTGAGGGTCTCAAACATCCAGTTCATCGTCTTCAGGTGCTCCACGAATAGGCTTGCCTGCTCTTCTTGTGAAGCAGGACCCATATTATCCCATTCTGCCACGGGATCTGATAGATCTTGCACTTCTCGCGCAACTGCTTTGAGGTTACTATCACCGAAGCCCTGGGCAAAGATCCTCGAATATTGGCTTTTCTTTGAAGATTCGCTGACATTGTCTTTGAGGTCGACATCTGAAACAACTCTTGAGCCAATTCTCGATTCAGCATCACGTTCTGGCTCTGTTTCAGTCAGTAGTTGGTCTTGCTCTTGGTGGCTGTGTTGTTCTGCAGCATCAATCACGGATGTGTCCTGTCAAAACTAGATCAGCGAGGTTCAGATTATCGTTAGGGAGATAAGATTACTCACGAGGGGAGGAGCTTTGCTTGTCAAACCCTCTAAGATATTACCGGAAACATCGGCAGAGGGAGAGTTTGCCGTTTGCGGAATGCCTGACTCCGGAGAAATGGTCGTGGAAGCCATTCTCTCAAAATCGCGAGTGAAAGGAAAAAGAAAAAAAAGGAGAGGGAGAAAGGAACTTTCAAAAGGCTCCTGTTTTATTCAATTGGCTTATCGAGTCCTGGATGTTGAAGTATGCATTTACTATCCCATATATCAAAAGAAAATTGGAACGATATGTTGATTGCTTCCTGGGACGTAAGGACTCTGTGTGCTGCTAATGACAGTCTGCGTGCAGGACGATTAAGTTGCAACGAAGAAGACAAAGTCAACGCGAAACAGAAATCTGGGGCTCGCCAATTTTCAAGTACTGCTCTGGAGATGAGGAGGGCATACACCAAGGAGCAACCGATAGCTCCAACTGGAGCTGATGTGCGCATATCCAGAATTGTTGTGACATGAACCGAATGATTCGTGGGCTGCACTTGCTACTCGTCAACCTGGTTTGAAGGTAAGCAAATATAGGTGAGCCCCTTGGAACTTTTGTTATCAATTTTATGCAGTCACCCAACCAAGTAAGCATGCCGACACCCGAATGCTTACGCCAAGAGCTCTTCTATCCAATTATCATGTATCATGCCAGCGCACATACTACCCTCCAACTCTGCAGCCTCGCCGTCAGGGAGAACGCCAGTCTAGGCATGCGTGGAAGGGGTTATACTTATCCCCCAACCTCAAAACTCCAAGGCAAGCCTGAACTCATCCAAATACAACAATGACCGACTACGTCGCCACATTCATGAAGACGCATGCCGGTGCAATCGACCCAAGCTGGCAGGTGTTAGCCAGGGAAATGTATTCGGAAACGAGGCGCCAGAAAGCATCAGCGAGGTGAGTAACCCTTTATCCCGCATCTCTCAAGTGGAAAGAGAAGTCTGAATACATCAGTGCGATGGCATTGACACTAACGCAAGACAATATCTCTCAGAGTTCAGGAACGTACAAATTCATTCAAAACTTTGATCAGTACTTTCGCCAAAAACACTCGCAGCAATGATCTCGCGACGTTTGACGTGGACAGGCAGTTTCAATGGGAAGATGTATGGCAAGTGGCGTCTGAAGCAATTGAGCAAGATAAAGTCAAAGAGAAAATGAAGAACAATCCTTTCCGTGCGGCTGGGCGATCCCTCCAACGAAACGCGTCGAACTTAGAAATGCTTGTACAGTTTCTACCAAACGGCGACTTTACCGGAATACTTTGCGGGGCCCTGACCTTCGTATTCTGTGTAAGACGAGGGTTTCTGTTCTTCTGGTCTTAAAACTGACAACTTCGCATGAATAGGCTGCCAAGCGCCTCGACGAAGTTCGAAATAAGATTATCAGCTGTTTGGAAAGCTTGCCAGATATTGTCCAGGAGACTCAAGGGTGGGTAGACATTTATGAAGATGACCCGTCAGTCTGGAAAGCAGCCGAAGACCTGTATCTCGGGATTCTCGACGGCATAGAGAGCATGCTGCACTGGATCGACAAGTCAGCCCTCGGTATGAGCTACTCTCAAACCTGCTTTGTCTTTATCTGACTTTCAAAGAGAGGGCTTTCAAGTCACTCATGAAACCTATGACTTATGGCAAGAACGTAGAAGAAGACACGATCAAGCGAAGTATCGAGGGCAATATGGCCAAGTTCCGGAACGTAGTTGTGATGAGTCAACATAGAAACATGAGCAAGACACTGAAGTCCTTGAAAGCTCTGTATGAACAACTGGACAGCGATTTGAAAAGAGCCAACTGGGCTCAAGGTAAATTTGTTTCGTCGTCGTCCCCGCATGTATTAACAATTCGAGCTAACAAACTCAATCAAGAAAATCCGAAAGCAGAAAAGCTTGTTACGAAAGACTTCGTAACTCTCGATGAACTTCGCTCCATCATTGCCTTCGATTCAAGAATCAACCAGAAAGACATGGTCACGTCAATGATAGATGCAAAGAGAGCCTGCCCGCCAGAGTTGATCGATCACGCAATGTTAGCGCTCCGCAGCAACGCCTTCAATTCATGGCTACAACCCAATAAGTCTCAGATATTGTACATCAACGGCAGGATGAAATTAAACCCGGAACAAGAAGCAGCATCACCACTGACAGTGCTATCTTGCATTCTTCCGGAAGTGGTGGTAAATCGATCTTGTCGTAGTCTGCCCCTGGTCTATCTTTGCGGCCAACATAACCGACCCAACGACCCCTATTCGGGAGCCTGCAGCGTCCTACGATGCTGGAGCGCACAAATTACCGATTTCATTACTCCACAAGACGTCGACCTCTCGGAAATCAACTACAAATTTGTAGAACACATCAAAAACCACCAGCTTGAGGCCCTATGCATACTTTTCCACCTTTTGCTCATGAGTGTAAGAGACAAGGTTGTTTTCATCGTACTGGATGGAGTGTCGTGGCTCGAGGGCAGTCGTCATGTCCGGGGACTGGAGTTGCTTGTTTTATTCTTGAGGAATCTTGTTAATTCGTTGAATCAACAACAAACCCTGCGCAACCCAGACGCAGTGGTTATCAAGGTCCTGATAACGAATCCGTCGACAAGTGACTATGCAAGGCAGTGGCTTCAAAAAGAGTGTATACTAGAGATGGATGACGTTAGATAATTATATGTATGCTGGTACACTTCATTTCCTTGCATACTATTCTATGATAGACATTTGATCGAATGACGAAGCAACAACAACCAAGAGCACCTGTTGTGAATACGACCTCATTTACATGTGATACTTGAAATCCAACTCCCAGTCGCCAGTCTTAACCTTCCTCTTATCTTCCATCTCCCCGCTCTCAATCTTCCTCTTCATCTCATTGCAGTGGCGGATATAGAACCACTTTCCAACAACCAAAAGCTGCGCAACACCCAGCGCACCAACAGAGAACGCATTACCAAGCAAATACGGCGCCTTGCGATAAATCTGGCCCGCAACAATACCAGCACAGTTACCAATGGCCTGCTGCATACCAATCGCAGTAGCTCGCCGGTATTGCGGCGCGACGTTGACGTTGAGCCACGTCAGGTTGAGACCAGGGCCGTTGTAAACGGCAATGGCGCACAGGAAAGTACCGAAGAACTTGACGCCGCTGCTTGTCGGGCAGATGATGAGGATGTAGCCGATGATGCCCGGAATATTTGCCAAGAAGATGAGGGGGCCGCGAACGAGGATGCGGTCCGAGACGTAGGCTGTCGCCAGGAAGGCGATGGCGCCAAAGAGGAAGACGGGGATACTGAGGTATTGGGCTTCGATGCTCGTGCGACCCATGGAGACGATGATGGAGGGGAGGAAAGTGCTGAAGCCGTAGAGGAGGATGTCTTGACAGAATTGGATGGCACCACTGTTGCACTGCTGTTAGTCTTCTATCGAGAAAGATAGGGGGTAAGATATCTCCGTGGTGGGGTTTGAACGTACCTGAGGTAGAGCTTGGGGTCGCGAAGCTCAATCTTGATCTCCTCCCAGCTGAACTCATCGCTTCCCATGTACTGAGCACGCTGCGCAGCACGAATCTTCATCATGCGCTTCTCTTCGTCGGAGAGGAAGTAGGCATTCGAAGGATCATTCGGCAGACCGAACCATAAGATCGGAGCAATCAAGATGCTCACGACACCCTCGATAATAAAAACCCATCGCCAGCCAGCATACCCAGCCACCCCATCCATCTTCAACAGCGCATACGCCAATAACCCACCAAACGCACCGGCAATAGCAGAGCACACAAACAGATACGACACCCTCTTAGCCTGCTCATCGCGCTTATACACCATGGTGAGGTACAGATTCAGCGCGGGGAACAAGCCGGCCTCGCACATGCCGAGGACGAGGCGCACGGCGTAGAGGCCGCCGATGCTGTGGATGAAGCCCGAGAAGACGGTGGAGAGGGACCAGATGATGCAGAGGCCCGTGAGGAGGACGCGCGGGGTGATACGCTTCATCATGATTGTCCAGGGGGGCTCGAAGACGACGTAGGTTGCGTAAAAGATGGAGATGGCGGTCGAGAACTCTTGGGTTGTGGCGCCAATGTCCTCGGGCATGCCGGCGACGCGGACGTTGCCGATGTTTGTGCGGTCGAGGAAGCAGGTTAGGTAGACGACCATGATGATGGGGACGAAGTAGGCGTCGAGCTGGATTGGAGCATCATTGTATTAGCTTGCTGTGGTGGTATGCCGTGGATTTTGAGGGTAAGTTGCTTACCTTCAAGAGGAGCTTCTTCTCGGCCGCGGGATCGAGGGACTCGATTGCCATTGTGCCATTGTTGGATTCAGAGCGATCAATGTCGCTGCCGAGACCCTTCTCGGCGCCGGCGCCGGAGACGTCGTCGGGGGTGGAGATGGTCGCCATGGCTGAATTGGCTTCTGGATGTGGACTTGTAGCCAAGATGGAATCCCAAGCAGACCGGTAGTTTGATTCTGCAATAGTCGGGGTTCAATGGCAATGGAGATTCGCTACCAAAGTCTCGGGATTGACAAAGGTGGTGAGGAGTCGATCTCTTTAATCTAGAAACAGTCGATGGGGCAGACCGCCTTTATGATTTGTGCCAATCTATGCGTGATGTGCCATTGACGATAATGGAACGATATGGACAGGCGGATAACACCAAACACCAAGGGAATGGACAGCGACAAATTACTCGGGCGCGCTATCTCTTGCCGAACCATCCATTTGCAGGCACGGACATATGGATTGACGCGGTATCAAGGGTAGCATCGCGGGGGTTAGAGGGAGACACGCGCGGAGAGCCACTCCTAAGAGACCTTGGCTAGCATTTGGTCCCTTACTACTCCGTTCGGATAACCTAACGCATCTACCGCGAACTTGTCCACGGCCAACCACGAAGATCGGAGGTCCTCGCCGACCCCTGATACTTGCGGGGGAACTTGGGAAACGCTCTTCCCACACTTTTCCCCACTGACAATGTTGATAGCGCTGATAGCTGCTCGTATCCACCCGGCCCCCCGGCGTCGGAGTGGCGCCCCTATCGAACTAGTCTCCAGGATAGATTCAAATACCTAGGCAACCTTGGGAATGGAACACATTGGAACAGAGTTTGGGACTCGGTGGAACGGTTCGGTAACGACTGTCGATAATGGCTTGGGTTGTTCATTGTCAGTTGATGGGTTTTCTTGACTCTAACCAGGCCATTGGCGGCGAGTCTACGCTTGGTGAAGTTAGCTCGCCCAGCCACCGGGCGTGATGTCAGGATGATGCCTCCGGGCTCGTTACCCGAAGCTTTCGGGATTTAACCCATTTGAGTTTGATCCCTTGGTACATATCAGCCCCTCCCCACTTGGCAGCCCTGCAGATCCCCTTCAGCCAAGCCGCCAAATGGGCAGATTCCGTGGTTAAAGCAAGATAAGCCAGTATCCACAAACAAGGACTCGGGTCAAGACAGATTATCATTGAGGTGAAAGGATTGAAAGCTTCGCATTATCATCAAATCGTAATAGTAAGATATACATGTAGATACCGTGAGTTTCCTTCACACATCCATCCTATCATCAGCCTGAGTCATGCCAGCCGCGTGAGTCCATTGCGAAAAGTCAAAGCTCGCGTCCATCGCTGGGTCGGCAAAGCCTTCTTCCCAGAGCCCAAAGTCCATCACCGTGCTCACACTTTCATCGAAAAAGGGTTCACCTAGGGAGCTGTTGTCAACGACGGGGAACGTCACCCGCTGCTGACCCGTCATGCCTTGCATCGCCATCAGGCCTCCTCCTCCTTGAGCGTCGCCCATGGCCATGGGCAGTACACTACTGCTACTAGTCGGCTGCGCACTTGGAAGAAGCCCTCCTCCTGCTCCTGCCGGCACTAGCGATCCTGTCGGCGAGAAGCTTGTCGGAAACGGAGGCAGAGGTTCGGCGTGGGCGTTTGTCCCGGACATGACGGCCGAACGAAGATTGGCGAGGAGCTCGTAGCGGGCGCCCATGTAGCTGTTGCCTCGCTCGCCCATGCCTCGGAGGAGATCGAGACCGGCGTTCATCGCCATGATGCTGGACGGGTCTGTCGGGAAGGCGACGCAGACCATGACGAGGACGATGGATGCTGAAAAGACGTGTTCTCCGTCCATGTACCCATACGTTGCTGGGTGGTCGTTAAGATCAGCCAATAAACGCAGACATTGTCGGGGAAAAGGTTGTGTAACCATACTTACCCACAAGATCTCTCTGTGCTGCTACAGTCATTATGTTAATGGTGTCCTGCGCCGCACCGATGCACATGTCAATAACCCTGACAGTTGTTTGGGACAATCCCTCTTTCCAGCCTCGTTCCTTCTCGCCTGCGTCGCTACTGGCGCGAATCTTTTGCAGTCTCTTCTGCACAACATGGAAGAGCAAGGGTCGCGCGGTCATGTTGATGCACTGATAGTAATGTGCAAACGTGCTCACGCTCTCGCGACTAATGCTCAGCCGGGCAGGGTCGAATCGAAGCTCATCTGGTAGGTTGCTGTTCCACTTGGACAGGCTGAGCACGATGCCCTGAACTGACGCCATCAATCGTTTTCCGGATTTAGGCGCCGTCTTGCTGGTCTTGCGATAGATGGTGTTGTGGATTTCACCGAGGATCCGTGAGAGTTCGGTGTAATGCCGAAGCACTACTGCCGGACAATATTCTGCTTCTGTCAGGAGTCTCGAAGGCAGGTCAACGCCGATATCCTCGTCCTGGATGGTGATGGGATTTCCCGATTTGACCGATAGAATGCGATCCAGACTATAAACAGACCACCACACCCGACGACGATGTTCGCGAGTTGCATTGTCTAAGGCGGCCGGGTTGTTATCTTGACCCTGTAAAGCATGTGGTGCCGCACTAAATCCTATCTCATGATGCAGCCCAAGAGAGATGGCCATGCGGAGAGCCATACCGGTATACAGGAACGCAGCATCACGGCGGTTCATGTTCTGCATGAAATAGCCGATGAGAGCCAGTGTTTCCACGCACAGCAACGATCCTTCTTCATGGGTATCGGGCAATAGGTTCAGAGCGTGGGTGAAGTAGTCGAACCCTGGCGGGCCCCTGAAATCGACCCATTGGTTGACGGAATAGAGTTGACCGAAAGCCAAAATGATGAGGACCTTTGCATATGACAGGCACGCTTCTCTGTCAGAAGGATCGGGAGGGCCTCGGTATGCCTCAATGAGCAATTGATCGAAGCTGGCCTTGGGATCCGTAAAGGCGAAAATCGTCCCAATGTAGGTGTATTGTGCAGCAAATAGCCGTCGGGCAATGTCTATCGGTGGTAGTCGAACCTGCGTCCTCGCCTTTTCACGTCTTGAAGGCAGGGCACTTGGTTCGTAAAAGTTGGTGTTGGCGTCCAAGCTGCCGTCGTCGCCGTAGAATCCTGATAGGTTTCTAACACTTCGTAGGAAATTGTCCGAATTGCCAGGGCCCTTGAAACTTGTCGAAGGCTTATGGACGCTCATCTGGTTGAAAGGCTCGAGCAACGGGTGTTCATCTTCGAATTCTTCCTCGTGCTCTTCAGCTGAGATGCGGTGGGCTGGGGCTTTTCCAGAGATCGGAGCTGGTAGCTGAGACTGTCGAAGAAGCGAGTCTAGAATACAATCAGTACGTGACTGATATGATCTATGCTGGTCACTCACCATCATACGCCTTGGCTTTAGCCTCGAGTTCACGTAAGTAGCTAATCAGTGTATTAGTTGCATATCTCATGAGTTGGAGGTTAGGCGTTGGACTCACGCCTCTGTGACTGTGATCTTTATACTCGTCTCGTACGCGCAGCTCAGGCCACTATCACGACATCGCGAACAGGTAGGCTTCTCTTTCGAGCAATAGGATCGTCTTTGTCGGCAATTGGCACATCTATTTTGGAAACTCAGCAACGCTTCCACGGAGCTCATAAGATGAAGTTCAAGAGAACAATGGAACTTACGCCACGGGCCTTGAGTTTCCAACTTCACATGGGGATGATGAAGGCCCTGCTTGAGGCGGAGATGGTGCAATAGGAGCCATGTTCTGGCATGTGTTTTGGTAATGCCGATATGACATATCTCTCACGGAATCACTTGGAAGAGGTGGGGATGTTCGAGCCCCATGCCCATGGCACGCGAGATGCAATTATCCGTTGATATCGTCCACTTCCCCAAGTCTTCGAGATGGAGCTTGTGACAAATGGAAACTCTTTGGATGGGGGTGTTTGTCAAGGCTCAACGCGGGGAAAGCAAGGTGTTGAAGTTTCCTGGCCGTGCACCCTGCTTGCGGAGGGGATTTGTCGGCGCAGAATCACCTGAACCTGGAGAACCAACATGCATCGTGGTCTTGGTATCGGGCTGGAGGATCGGTGTTTATGGAGAATTCCCCACAGCCGTGATTAATGCTGGAGGGGTTGAGAAAGCCGTTGACAAGTTCGCGTTGCGAGTGACGACGGTCCTTTTGCCGATGATGGAGCCTTTCCGCTTTCGGCCTGCGGTACGTACTGTTTCAGAGATCGGATGACGTCGGCCTCTAGATAATCCGAGGGCTTCTTCGTTCGGCCAATGAGGCCAGGGAGATATGCTGTTATTGTCGGGGACCCACTCCGACGGCTACACGCAGGCTTCTACCGGCCACGAACTCCACATATCTGATTTCTCGTTTTCGACACCAACTCGCAATTTGACTCCGATTCTTATCATCATGCTTTATCAAGTATCGGACAAAGGCCGCACTTCGATTTGCTGAAATGCTGATCGGGGACCCACTCCGCCCCATCTACCAGTCAAATGTCTTGTTTTACTCTTCAGCGGTGGTCAACTGCGATGGCGACATCCGACCAAAGGCCGATATGGCTATAGCATCTAAGAAACCAGCGATACGGCCTGGCATCAGCCGCCGGCCAGGTGAACCTTACTGTCTGAATTTTGGTCGGATGGCCTCATCGGAAAGCTTGTTAGCAAATGTGTGAGTTCCAGGAAAGCGGGCACCCGATCGCGGCCTCCTTCCAAGCCCCATTTCCCGATCAGAGTAGCGGCAAATTGTTACATGATCACGACAGAGGCAAGAAGAAGATATCCTCAATATAAACATTTGCGCATGCCAACATCGTCGGATTTCTATCATCGACATATCGTCTCACGTCAATCATAACCTAGTGCTACTTTGATCTTGCTTGAACCAATTCTATACCCCAATCCAACTTCTCTTTACCGACTCGTCTTCTTGACGAGCCTACTCACAAGCAGCAAGTACCACATTCACACATCACCATGACGGTCAAGTCACATCGCATTCGCATCTCCATCGACAGAGGTGGCACCTTCACCGATGTTCACGCCGCGATACCCGGCAGAGGAGACATCATTCTCAAACTTCTCTCCGTCGACCCCGCCAACTACCAAGATGCCCCAACAGAAGGCATCCGCCGGATTCTGGAGATGGTGACTGGTGAGACGTTACCTAGAGGACAACTGCTCGATCTCTTTCACGTCGAGTCCATTCGCATGGGCACGACAGTAGCCACAAATGCCCTTCTCGAGCGGAAAGGCGAGCGCGTGGCCCTTATCACGACAAAGGGCTTTCGCGATCTGTTGGCGATTGGAAACCAGTCACGGCCAAATATTTTCGACCTCTCAGTCGCACGGCCAGAGGTCCTCTTTGACGAGGTCGTCGAAGTAGATGAGCGTATCACGATGGAGGACTACACCGAGGATCCCGCCTCTATCAAGACGAGTCCGACGTCCGATGATTCTGAGCTCGTCACGGCCATCACCGGCGAGACCATCCGCGTCCTCAAGAGGCCGGATCTGGAAGAAATCAAGACGCAGCTCGAAAAGGTCAGAGAACAGGGCTATCGGTCCATCGCCGTTGTCTTTGTCCACTCGTACGCCTACCCAGACCACGAGCTCCTGGTTGGCAGAGTCGCCTCCGAGATGGGCTTCTCCGTCACCCTGTCTTCAGAAGTTCAGCCCATGATTAACGTCGTGCCTCGTGGCATGTCTGCTGTGGCTGATGCCTACCTCACGCCCGTCATTCGGCAGTACATTGACTCTATCTCGGCCAACTTCAAGGGCGGATTCGGTGCGGCCGCGACGCGCATCGAGTTTATGCAGTCGGACGGCGGCCTTGTTGACTACCGCAAGTTCAGCGGTCTCAAGGCGATTCTTTCCGGACCTGCTGGTGGTGTTGTTGGTTACGCCCAAACTTCTTGGGATGACGAGGAGCGTCAGCCTGTCATTGGCTTCGACATGGGCGGTACCTCGACAGATGTCTCCCGCTATGCCGGCGTCTACGATCACGTTTTCGAGACCACCACTGCCGGCATCGCCATCCAGTCCCCTCAGCTCGACATTCACACCGTAGCTGCCGGAGGTGGCTCTATCCTGACCTGGAAGAATGGCCTCTTCAACGTTGGTCCTGAGTCCGCTTCTGCACACCCTGGCCCAGCATGCTATCGCAAGGGCGGCCCGTTGACCGTGACGGACGCGAACTTGTTCCTGGGCAGGTTGTTGCCGGAATACTTCCCCAAGGTCTTTGGCCCCAAGGAGAATGAGCCGTTGAACCGAGAAGTCACGGCCGCCAAGTTCCTGGAGCTGACGAGCGAGATCAACAAGGACAGAGAGGCCTCTGGTCTCTCTCTGCTTTCTCCCGAAGAAGTCGCTCTCGGCTTCCTCAAGGTTGCCGACGAGGGCATGGCAAGCCCGATCCGCGCGTTGACGGAAGCACGCGGCTACGAGGCTGGCGCGCATCACTTGGCTTGCTTCGGCGGCGCTGGCGGTCAACATGCGTGCTCCGTCGCCACAGTCCTAGGAATTTCCCGGGTCATCATCCACAAGTACTCCTCCATTCTATCAGCGTACGGAATGTCGCTGGCGGACGTTGTCCACGAGATTCAGAAGCCTTCCGCCATCACCTACTCTGACGAAACTAAGGGCAGCATCCAGGAGCAGCTCGAGGAATTGTCTTCCCAGGCCACTCTGGAGCTGATGAAGCAGGGCTTCACCGAGGATCTCATCACTCACGACACCTACCTCAACATGAGATATGCTGGATCTAGCAGCTCGCTGATGATTCTGAAGGGCGCAGACTGGGACTTTAAGACGGAGTTCGAAGACGCTCACCGCCGGGGCTTCGGGTTCCACTTCCCCGAGAAGTCCATCATGGTCGACGACATCCGTGTTCGCGCTACTGGCGCAGCTCGTTCCAAGGTTGAGAAAAGCCCGTTTGCCCAGATGAAGTCAGTCGAGGGCTCCACGGTCTCGACCCCTCAGCCCAGCGGCACCAACAGCGTCTACTTTGAGGGTCACGGGCACCTCGATACGGCTGTCTACCAGCTCCAAACCATCCCCGTCGGCGCCCGTATCTCCGGCCCGGCCTTGATCATCGACAACACCCAGACCATCCTCGTCACGCCGTCCACCGCGGCAACAGTCCTCGAGAGCTACGTCGTTATCGACCGCGCGCCGGTAGAGAAGATTGCCAAGACGGGCAGCGAGCAGGAAGAGTTCAGCCCCGTTCAACTCACCGTCTTTGGCCACCGTTTCATGTCCATCGCCGAGCAGATGGGCCGCACCCTTCAGAAGACGGCCGTCTCAACCAACATCAAGGAACGCCTTGACTTCTCCTGCGCCATCTTCAGCCCCGACGGCGGCCTCGTCGCAAACGCCCCGCACGTGCCTGTCCACCTGGGATCCATGCAGTTCGCCGTCCGCTACCAGCACGAGCTATGGGCCGGCAAGCTCAAGGACGGCGACGTCCTCGTCTCCAACCACCCCTCCTGCGGCGGTACCCACTTGCCCGATATTACAGTCATCACTCCCGTCTTCGACGGACCTGAGCTGGCCTTCTATGTTGCCTCGCGAGGTCACCACGCCGATATTGGCGGTATCCTCCCCGGATCCATGCCGCCGACCTCCTACGCCCTTTGGCAGGAAGGCGCGGCCATCGAGTCAACCAAGCTCGTCAGCGAGGGTCGTTTCAACGAGGCTGAGGTCCGCCGCCTGCTCCTCGAGGAGCCCGCCCAGTACGACGGCTGCTCCGGCACCCGCAGACTGCAGGACAACCTCTCTGATCTCAATGCACAAATCGCCGCCAACGCAAAGGGCATCTCGCTCATCAAAGCCCTCATCACGGAAAACGGTCTCGCAACTGTTCACCGGTACATGTACGCCATTCAGCACACGGCCGAGCACGCCGTGCGCGAGTTGATGCAGTCCACCCTCGCCAAATTCGGCTCCGAGCCCCTCGTCGCGGTCGACTACATGGACGACGGTACGCCCATCTGCCTCAAAATCACCATCTCGCCCGAGGATGGTTCCGCGACATTTGACTTCACCGGCACCGGCCCGCACGTCCTCGGCAACACGAACGCGCCCATCGCCATCACGCACTCGGCCATCATCTACTGCCTGCGCGGCCTCATCTCCTCCCAGATCCCCCTCAACCAGGGCTGCCTGGCCCCCATCGATATTGTGATCCCCAAGGACAGCATCCTCAACCCGGGCGCCGGCCTCGCCGTCGTCGGCGGCAACGTTCTCACATCCCAACGCATCACCGACGTCGTCCTCAAGGCCTTCCGCGCCTCCGCCGCCAGCCAAGGCTGCTGCAACAACCTCACCTTTGGCACGGGCGGCAAGGACCCCGTGACGGGCGAGCACAAGGACGGCTTCGGGTACTACGAGACCATTGCCGGCGGCGCTGGCGCGGGCCCAACGTGGGTGGGCCAGAGCGGCGTGCAC